GTTTTTATATAAATATATTTTATCTTTAATTTATTTACTAATTTATTTATTTATTTATTAATTAATTTTTTTTATTATTTTATTTGTGATTCATATATAATTATTATAATGTTTTTTTTTAGTTGAGGCTTTATTTGCAAGCTTTTAAAGCCGTATTCAAGAATGATAATATGTTATTACCATTATTTGGTATCACTCAACATCCAAAAACTTTGGAATACATGATTGTAACAAGTTACGCTGAGGGTGGTAGTTTGAAAAATAATTTACAATATATTCGTAAATTAAGTTGGAAAGAACGTTTGGAAATTTTACGTGATATTGTTTCTGGTCTGGCTAGTCTTCACCAAGCTGATTTACTTCACAGAAATTTACATAGTGGTAATGTTTTCCTCTTTAAGTCCTTGGATGATGAATGTAATGATGATGATGAATATGATAGAAATTATACTATGGTTGGTGATCTGGGTTTACCTCAACCCGTTGGATGTTACACTTCAAATCATGAGAAATTTTATGATTTCCTCCCTTACATTGCTCCTGAAGTACTAAGGGGTAACCTTTACACAAAATCTGCTGACATTTATAGTTTTGGAATGTTAATGTGGGAAATTACTTCTGGTGAATCCCCTTTTAGCAATATTCCACATGACAAACATTTAAGTTTTGATATCTGTTCAGGTATAAGACCTGAAATATATCATGACATACCTCAATGTTATACGGCTTTGATGAAAAGATGTTGGAGTATGGATCCATTCAATCGTCCATCTGCAACTACTTTAGTTAATATACTTGATGATTGGGTAGAATATTTTGATGATAATATTAAAGACATTGAAGATAAAAATATTCAATTACCTATCATGCAATTTCAACATGCTGACAAAATAATTCGTGCTCAGTCTAAACATTCGAGTACTAGCAGTAATTTCTATGCTCCATATTATACAAATTTCAACAATTTTTCAAGTTACAAATCTTCTTCTTCTACTACTTATGACAATAAAAAAGACCAATCCCGTTATTATTATTAATCGAGATTGATTCCCGATTAGTACAATCATACACTTTGATTTATTTATTTACTTATTTATTTATTTATTTTTCGTCAATCCAATCTATTTTTGTTACATTTTTTTTTTCTTAATTTACTATAAATTTAAAGAAAAAAAAACTTTATATTTTTTCCTTTACCAGAGGTAAAAGGAAAACAACATAGATATGCATATCTTTATTTAACTTTGGATACTTTCCGACACGATTATCGTTATTTTTTAAACACGCTTCATTTTATATATTATTTGAATATACTCATCATATGATCGTTTTTTTTTTTTAATATCTCGTTAGTGTTAATAAATCGTTTTTATTACACATTTTAATATTCTCGAAATTGGCAAAATCGTTTTTTTTACACAAAAATTGGCAAAACATAGGAATAATATGAACAATATGGCATTCATTTCATTTTTTACTTTTTTTTTTTTATTACTTGTAAATTGTGGACACTATGTATGAACATTTAATCTAAGGATAAAAAAAAAATCAAAACATAGAATAAATTTTTTTTATTTTTTGACCTTTAATTATTATTATTATTATTATTATTATTGTTGTTTTTTTATTTTTTATTTTTTTTTACCAATTGCCAAGAAAGTTGAATTGTTCAAGAAAATTGAAATATTTTTTTTTTTTTTATAAAAGAGTAATATAATTTTTTATATAAAATATATACGTACATTATACAGTACGTACAGTAATTAGATGTAAATAATTAGTACGCAGTTTCTTTTGGAAATTACTTTATTCATACTTAATTAATAATA